CTACTGGGGCGCCTGGGGCCACCAGCGGATGCCGTGGGGACCAGCGAGCCGCCCACCCCACGCACACGCCGAGCGCGGCAAGCCACAAGCCAAGCCAAGGGCTCACCCAGAGATCTTCTTCTCGCAGATCAGCACAAAGGGGTCCTCCAGCTCGCACTTCATCGTCTTCTGGTCGGTCACAAAGTAGGGCGAGATGTAGCCGCGGTCAAACTTCATGCCCTCAACCACCTGCGCAGGGGAGGGGGGACAGGAGTGGGGGCGGGCGGGCAGGTGAGCAGGCAGGCCGGGAGCCGGGCGGGCGCATGGTTCACGCGGCGCAAGCAGGCTGCAGTCGAGCACTGGCATCCATCCCAACCACCACACACACCAAACACACACACACGCACACACACACACCTCCAGCTCATTCTCCAGCGTCTTGCCGTCCTGCACCGTGATCACTCCCTCCTTGCCCACCTGCGGGAAGGAGGGGGTGCGCGTGTGCGTGTGTGTGCAGGCACAGGGAGGGGAGAGGCCGCTGGCGCGCACTGCAGCTGGCAGCAAGCTGACGGGCCCGAGTAGCCACCGGCATGGCCGCAAGCGAGCGAGCCCAGGGTCACAGCAGCGAGTGTGCCTAGCCCGCCTCCACTGCAGCAGCACGTGAGCGCCCCACCGCCTGCCCTGGCAAGTGAGCCCTGCACCGCCTGCGCCGCCTGCCCCGCCTGCCCCGCCTGCGCCGCCTGCCCTGCCTGCCCCCCCCACAGGGCCCGCACCTTCTCCATGGCCCGCGCAATCAGCTCGCCAATCTCGCGCTCGCCGTTGGCGGAGATGGTGCCCACCTGCGGGCAGCGGGGGGGTGGGATGGCGGGGCGGGCCCACAGGCACGGTCAAAAGCAGGCAGCCGGCAGCAGGGCCGGCAGCAGGCCAGGAGCGGTCTCGCGGCACGGCAGCGGCGGGGCAAGCGCAGCAGGCTGGCTCCACCCCCGGCCCCCTCCACACACACACACACACACACACACACACACACACCTGCGCGATCTCCTCGGTGGTGCTGATCATCTTGGCGCGCGCCTTGAGCTCCGCCACCACATGGTCCACCGCCAGGTTGATGCCGCGCCGCAGGTCCATGGGGTTCATGCCCGCCGCCACGCTCTTGCACCCCTCCACCAGGATGGCGCGCGTCAGCACCGTGGCGGTGGTGGTGCCGTCGCCGGCCACGTCGTTGGTGGCGCTGGCAACCTGCGGGGTGGGGGCAAGGGGTGGCGAGCCAGCGGGCGGGGAGTGGGGTGGTGGCCGCGTGCGCACGCCTGCGCAGCTGCCGGCCTTCCTGGTGCCAGCCGCCGTATCACCTCTCGCCGGCTAAATCGTGCTGCGCATGCTCACGACGCCCGTGGCAGGACCCACCCCCGCTGCACAGAGCACGCACCCCACCCCGCCACTCTCCATCCTCTGCATCGCCCTCCCACTGCCACACCAGCCGGCCCTCCCCCCGTCCGCCAATCCGAGGACCGGCCTGCCACCCCACCCGCTTGTCCCATGTGGCCCACGCAGCCTTCAGCGCTGCCCACCTGCTTGACCAGGGAGGCGCCCACGTTTTGGAACCGGTCCTTGAACTCAATGGCTTTGGCCACAGTCACGCCGTCCTTGGTGATCTTCGGGGCGCCATACGCCTGCTCAATCACCACGTTGCGGCCCTGCAGGCGGTCAGGGAGCGGCGCGGGGGCGTGCCGGGCGGCAGAGGCGGCGGTCGGGCACTCGTGCCGCAGGCAAGGTGAACCGGTGCGTGTGCAGCGGGTGGCGGGCGCGCGGGCAAATGGCCGGGCGAGCGGCGCACCTTGGGGCCCAGAGTGACCTGCACCGCGTCCGCCAGCTTCTCCACGCCCGCCAGCAGGCTGGCGCGGCACTCGTCGCCAAACCGCAGCTCCTTGGCGGCATAGCCGCGGCTCTGAAGGGCCTGGAAGGCCTGCAGGCGGCGGCGGCGGCGGCGGCAGGCAGAAGGCCAAACCGGCTGTGAGCCGCGCCCATGGCATGCATGAGGACCAGAGCTGCCCCCCGATCCGCAGGGGCCTTGGGGAGCTGCACAGAGGCCCAGCCATGCGACCTGGTTGCTGGCCAGGCGCAGCGCAATGCGCTGCCCTCATCACCGTCTGATCAGCGGGGGCACATATAGGGTTTGCATTTGCAGTGCCTGCCGGGCAGCCCAGGCTCGCCGCACATGCCGCAGCTCACCTCCTTCTTGCTGCGTCGCGCCGCAGCGCCCAGAAGCCGAGCTGCCCCCTGCATGCTGCCCGCTGTCGGATGCGCTGGCCACAGGATCGATCAGAGGAGATGGACTCGCCCTCCCGTCGCCTTCTAGGCCTTGCCTGCCCCGCTGGCTGCATGGGATCAAAGGATGGCCGGGCGCCCAATCCTACAATTCCGCACGCCTGCCAGCCCCTTCCCAGTCCCTGTGCCTGTTCAGAAGGCCTGCAGCCCGCCCGCCCGCCCCCCCGCCCCACCTCACAACTCCGCAGCCGCTCGCTCGACGCCCCGGGCGTTTCAGCTCCGCCCAGCAATGCAGTCTGCGGCGTGTGCGACCAGGTCCTGGCTGGCGGGCAGCCCCGCGCCAGCCCCCGCCGGCGGCAGCAGCGGCAGCGGGCGGGCGCCCCGCCGCGCCGCCGCCGCCACCAGGCGGCTGCCGCTGCGGGTGGCGGCTGCGGCCGAGGTGCAGCAGCCGTCCTCCAGCTCGGCCAAGGAGGTGCTGGAGCGCGCGGCGGACCGGACGGGGGCAGACGGCGCCGCCTTTGACCCGCGCGCCTTCCGCCGCTCCCTCAACTCCACCGGCCGCTACACGCGCAAGCCCAGCAACGACCCCGACTCGCTGTCGCTCATGGAAGAGCACGGCGTGGGCTACTCCACAGCGGGCCTGGTGGCGCAGATGCGGGAGCAGGGCTACGCGTGGAGGCAGGGCGACGTGAATGTGAAGCTGGCAGAGGCATACGGCTTCTGCTGGGGCGTGGAGCGTGCGGTGCAGATGGCGTACGAGGCCCGCCGCGCATACCCGGGCCAGCGCCTGCACATCACCAACGAAATCATCCACAACCCAAGTGCGTGGTGGCGGTGGTGGCGGGGGGGTGGCGGCGGTGGGGGATGCTGGTGCTGGCTGACGAGCGGGGGCTGCTGCCGGCGGCCAAGGTCCGCTCCCGCTCCCGCTCCCGCCGCCCCCGACCCGCGTGCCTGCTGTGCACGGTGCCGCCCTGCGTGGCCTGCAGGCGTGAACCAGCGGCTCAAGGAGATGGATGTTCAGTTCATTGACGAGGGGGCGGACGGCGGCAAGGACTTTAGCGGCGTGAAGGAGGGGGAGGTGGTCATCCTGCCCGCCTTTGGCGCCAGCGTGCAGGAGATGCGCCTGCTCAACGACCGCAACGTGCAGATCGTGGACACCACCTGCCCCTGGGTCAGGTGAGGCAGGGGGTGGGGCGGGGGCAGAGGGACACTGGGTGGGCATGCGTTGTGGTGGTGGCGAAGCGGGAGGGGCTGCAAGGGAGGGATGAGGCTGAAAAGGGCGAGGGAGCAGGAGGGGCGCTGCAGCTGGGTTGGTGCCACGGGAGGGCGGCAGTCTGGAACGCCGTGGCGTGCTTGCTGTACGCCAACGAAGAGTCCTGGCTGCTTGGCTGGTGCATGAAAAAGCCCAGCCGGCTGACGGCGGCTTGCCTGCCTGCCCGCACGCGGCTGCTGCAGCAAGGTGTGGAATGCCGTGGACAACCAGGCGCGCAAGGGTCACACCTCCATCATCCACGGCAAGTGGGCTCATGAGGAGACCATCGCCACCGCCTCCTTCGCAGGTGCGCTCGCGTGGGGCGGGCTGTGTGCGGGGGCCTGGGTGGGGGGCCTGGGTGGGGACAGGGCTGTGGGGGATGCCGAATCATTGGGGTCGATCTCACAGCATTGCAGTTTTGCTCTAATTCTTCATCTTGTGGAACCTCAGGATTAGGCGGGGTCGAGGCCCTCGCACACCCCGGCCCTCCAAATCCGCGCCCCCGCGTGCTGCCCGCAGGCACCTACCTGATTGTGAAGGACCTGAAGGAGGCACAGTATGTGTGCGACTACATCATGCACGGCGGTGACAGGGCAGAGTTCCTGGCCAAGTTTGAGAACGCCATGAGCGCCGGCTTCGACCCCGAGCAGGACCTGCAGCGCATCGGCATGGCCAACCAGACCACCATGCTCAAGGTGTGTGTGTGTGTGCGCGCGCATGTGTGTGCGTGTTGTTTTGGGGGTAGCAGCGCATGGGCAGAGCCGCCCTGCTTGTGGTCCATTCGCATGTGCTGGTGATGGGCAGCGTGCAGTGTTTGGCAGCCCCTCGCAGCGGTGCGGCCGCTGAGGCGTGCCGGGCGACGCGCGCTGCGGTGCCGCAGGGTGAGACGGAGGCGATTGGCAAGCTGCTGGAGAAGACCCAGCTGCAGAAGTACGGGCCAGGGGAGCTCAGCCAGCGATTCATGATCATGGACACAATCTGCGACGCCACGCAGGCGCGTGGTGTGGGTGGGCGGGCTGCTGGAGTCTCGGGGGGGGGGGCAGCTGCAGCCGAGCTGCAGCCGCATCGCTGCAGTTGCGGCAGGCGGCGCTGGGCAGGTGCTGTGGCAGGCAGCGGGCGGTGCTCGCGGCGTTGTGCCGTGAGCCTGGCTGGATGCTGAGCCTGGTTTCCTGGCGCCACCCGCGTCCCCCGCAGCCGGCGCGGACACAGCCTGGGCTTGCCGCCGGCTTGGCCTGAGCCCCATGTCCCGCCTGGGCGCGCGCTTCCTGCAGGAGCGGCAGGACGCTGTGTACAAGCTGGTGGGGCAGCAGAGCACGCCTGAGGGCATCGACATGATGCTGGTGGTGGGCGGCTTCAACTCCTCCAACACCAGCCACCTGCAGGAGATTGGGGAGATGAAGGGCATCCCCTCCTTCTGGGTCGACTCCGCCGCCCGCATCGACGTGGGCGCCAACAAGGTGACCCACAAGCTGGCGCACGGCGAGCTGGTGGAGACGGAAAACTGGCTGCCAGAGGGGCCCATCACGCTGGGCGTCACCTCGGGGGCATCCACGCCAGACAAGGCCGGTGAGCGCGGGCCGGCGCACGGCGCCGGCGGGGCACCTCTTGCCGACCCTCGCTGCACACACCCTGGAGCCGCTCCACCAGCTGCTGCTGCCGCGCCTGCCCAGCCTTGGTGACTGCATCTGCCTGTACCTCGCTGGTACCTGCCCCACAGTGGAGGATGTGCTGGACCGCGTGTTCCGCATCAAGGACCCGTCCTTCACCGGAATCACGCCCCGCAAGACCAGCGTGCAGAAGGCGGCGCACGGCGAGGAGGAGTGAGGCGCCCTGCACGGCGCACGGCCTGGCCTGGCCGCTGCTGGTGTCGAGCCGCCGCTGCGCGCGCTCGTGTGTGATGTGTCGATGCCGATGCTGTACCTCTCTTGGTTTTGTTCCTTTCTTTTCTACCCTGCTATAGCTCTGCTGTTCCACTGGCACTGAGTACTTCGCCCCGCTGAGCAAACTTACGCTTATCACACGGGGGCTGTAATAGGCAACAAGAACAGGGGCCAGGCAGGGAGGCACAGCGGACTACAATGTAATCAGGTCAATTGTGCTGTTGCTGCGGCAGGCCGCTGTTGGTGAGCCCAAGCGGTGATGAGCTCCGCGGCTGTGGTGCCCGCGTTGTTGCAGCGCAGCGCGTCCGCCCCTGCCTCAAGCAAGTGCCGCGCCACAGCTTTGTGCCCGTTCAGCACGCTGATATGTAGCGGCGTGCAGCCCCGCGCATCCTGCGCGTTGATGGCGGCTCCCTTGCGCAGCAGCAGCTTGATGATGCGCCCGTGCCCGCCAGCGCAGGCCAGGATGAGCGCGGTGCGGCCCTCTCCATCTCCCGCCTCCAGCGCCCGCTGCCCTGCCTGCGCCAGCGCCTGCCGTGCCTCCTCATACCTGCAGATGGTGCAGCAGTGCACAATGCAATTGCCGTGGGCTACTGCTGCCCAGAGCTAAGCTGTGCACACAGTGTACATCTCCCCACCTGCCAAAGTAACAATGGTCCCGCAGCGCAGCAGCAGAGGCCAAGAAGGCTGGAGATTCCATGTCTCTGCTCTGCTGCTCCGCCAGGTTTGGCGGCTGCGCCGCTGATACTGCCGCCGCACCTGCTGCCACCGAATCCTCAGGCGTCGCCCGCTGCGGCTGTTCACCGCTTGCATTGCCTGCCTGCTGCGCCTCTGCTGCGGCTGCATCCTCCAGGACCAGCGGTACCAGCAGGCCAATCACAGAGGGCAGCATCGCATCGTGGTGCAACAAGGAGTCTGGCGGGGCTGCGCAAGGGATACTGCTGCTGGCTCGGCCAGATGTGCTGCAGCAGGTGCCAGCAGAGCTTCCAGCCTCGTGAAGCACGTTCACTCCCAAGCTGCCTGTCCCTTTGCGGAGCGTCGCCAGCTGGCGTGCCAGTGGCGATGTGGCCCGCTGCCGCTGCTTGCCAGATGGTGCCTGCCAGTGTGCATGCTGGGGCCGGCATGGTGGCGAGGAGCTGGGGCGCGCTGTGGTCCCACGCCGCACGCGTCGAGCGCTGGTGCTGCTGCCATCATCCAGTGTCAGATCTGCAGTCTGCTGCAGCAGTGCCACCACTTGCCAGTCTGCAGCATCCAAGGCTGCCTGGCCAGCCAGCAACTGCGATGGTCGTGTGTCAGGCGCCCTGCCGCCGCTGCCATTGATGTCAGCATTTGCAGCTGCCAAGGCAGGAATGCGGGCTTGCACGACATGCATCTGTTGGCTGCCATTGGGCGTTGTTGCATGATGGCCTGGCAAGCGTCCTGATGGTGCAGCAGGGACCCCCTTTGCCCTGCCGCTGGCAGGCCGGGGCTGCGTGCCACGCCGGCTTGCCCGCTGGGCTGCTGCCCCAGCTACGCATCCAGAAGCTGAACCAACAGACTGCGCTGCATGGTGCCGGCTCCTCCGAGCTTCTGCCAGCTGCTGTTGTGCTAGTGCGAGAAGCGCCTCCGGGCGCTGATCCGCCATCGGCGGACGGGTGGCGGCGGTAGTTGAGGCACTGGGTGCAGCAGCTGGCGGGCCGCAAGTCGCTGGAGGGGCACGCTCCCGCGTCGCAGGCTTGCCGAATACAGCGAGTCCACGCGCGGTTCACTCTCGTCTGTGCCGCAAGGACAAGGGTGTTGACCTCGAGTTCGAGGCCCTCCGCCTCCTGTATGCTCACCAAGTGAAGGCAATGTGCCGTGCAATCGGCGTATAATCTGTGCCAGGTTTGGTGGATGAGGTGGCGGCACGCCAGCGGCGCCAGGAGACGGGCAGGCAGCAGCACGGTGCCGACGCCCCAAAGATGGCTGGCTGCTATTCACCAGGAATCAATAATGATATGATGCATCACATGGACAGGCAGGCTAGTGCCTCGCCCACCTGCTGTCGCTGTGATTGGGGCGCCTGTTTGGGCGTGGTGCACAAGAGCGACGGCGTCAAGCCAAGGGAAAGCAAGTTCAAACAGATAAATCAATGGATGTGGCAAGGTAGAGGGAAGGAGAGAATACATGCCAGCGCTAGCACTGGGACAAGGAAGCAGGGTGGCACACAAAAATCCATGCAGGCTTGACATTTGCCTGGCAGGCAGGCAAAGGCGCGCCAGGGCACCAGCCGCCGGCGGGCCTCAGAAGAAACACTGCAGCATGGGCTCCCCCTCGTGCCCTGCCGCTGACGCCGTCTCCTGCAGCCCAGGCAGAGCAGAGCACATGGTCATGAGCGAACCAGCCACTGCCATAGCTCTCGTGGCGCCCTATACTTGGTGTGGGCATCGCAGCGCGCAGCCAGCAGGGCCCCACAAGGACGCACCACTATGGTCTGCACCAGCTCTAACCGGTCCTGCAGACTATCCGCATTGTCCATGTACCTGCACAATATAGCCGGGCGGCAGCGGCAGTATTCAGTCAGCAGCATGTGGGCAATGGTACGCAGGCAGCAGGCAGTGGAGCGCGGGTGAGTCGGCACACAGCGCTCACACAGCCCTTACCAGTCATTCATGCCCAGCGCTCCCGGCGGCAGGTCCTGCAGCGGCAGCAGGCGGCAGGGGCCGTTGGCTCTGGCTTCCCGCCTGGTGGCGTCACCATGTAGCTCAACCGCACCCGCTAACCGACCTACCGTATCTTGCTTCACCCTCTCTCTTGAGTGGCTCAGGCTCAAAACGTGCAAGCCCCAACCCCCGACCCACCCACCCCGCTTCCCCACCTTGACGAACCAGGCGTGCTGGAAGATATCGTCGAGCCCCACCCGCTTCTCGGGGTTGGGGTTCAGCACGCCTGCAGGTGGGTGAGGTGAGGAAGGGTGGGCAGCCGCAGCAGGGAGCAGGGGCCAGGACCGGACCGAGGGCTGCAAACAATCCGCGTGCCCGCCCTCGCAGCACACACCCACACCCACTACCACCACCGTACGCGGCAGCCACACGAGCACAGGCGCACCCTGGATCATGTCCTTGCACTCGTGCGAGACGGGGACCCCAGGCGGGTAGGCGATGCTGCCCTCCGTCATCTTCTGGGGCAGCTTGGGGTCGGCGGGGTTGAAGGGGTAGTAGCCGTACACCATGGCATACAGGATGATGCCTGCAAGGCACGGCATGGCATGGCGTGGGCATGGCGAGGCGCACGCGTGCAGGAGCACGGGGATGGGGACCGGCACACTCGGGTCGGAGGGTAGTACACTCGAGGGCGTGAGGGGCAGAGGCGCAGTCACGTGTGGGCACGGAAGGGGTGGGCGCCGCGCGCCAGGTTCCCGGCAGCGCACGGCGCAGGCGCGTGCCACGGACCCCGTGCCACATGCCGCCGCCGGCAGCGCCGCTGCTCCCGCCCCGCTCTCGTGCTGTGCACCCGGCCGCTGGCGCCGCCGTGCGCTCACCGCAGCTCCACACGTCTGCCTTCTTGGCGTCGTATTTGGAGTTTATGAAGATGACCTCGGGCGCCATGTACACGGGCGTGCCCAGCCGCGTGTTGGCGGTGCTGCTGAGGTCGTGCTTGGAGTAGCCTGTGGGCGGGCGGGCAGGGCAATGGGGTTTGTATGTGTGGGTGGGCAAGGGCGAGGGTGGGGATGGGGGTTGGGTAGGTGGGCCCAAGGGGCAGACACGGGGGCAAGCAAGTGGGGAGGTGGCAGCATGGCGTGGTGTGGCGCGGCAGCGGTTCCAGAGATGGCGCCCCGGAGGCTGCAACACCGTCCCCACAACCCCGACACCCCAACCAGCAGACACATATCCTCAAACACAGAGACGCACACCGCCGGCGCACACGTGGACCCCGGCTGCGCAGCGCACCAAAGTCGCATATTTTGAGCAGCGGGTTGCCGCTGGACTGGTCCTGGTCCAGCAGCAGGTTCTCCAGCTTCAGGTCGCGGTTGGCCACGCCCTGGTAACAGGAGGAAGCGAGGCGGAGGGATGGAAGACGGGATGGTAAGGTGACAGGGGAGGCAGTCGGGACGCAGTCGGAGGGCGGCGGCAGGGCAGATGTGCTTGCAAGGGAGGGCAAGCGGTGGGGTGGTGGAGAACAGGCGCAGCCGACAGCAGCGCACCATCCTGTGGCAGAAGTCCAGGCCCACGATCATTTGCTGGAAGATCCACCGCGCCTGGTCCTCCGTCAGCCGGTTGTGCAGGCAGCGCTCGCGCAGGAAGCGGTGCAGCTGCGGGGGCGGGGGAGGCGCGGGCGCTTGTGAGTCAGGTACCCAACCGTGCAGGCTGCCCCACCACCACACAAACAGCGAACAAGCGATGCTCCCGTACCACACCACACACACCCAAACACACGCCAACACACATCTGACGCACACCATCGCACACTGGCAGGCACACCAGCGCATGCGCGCCGATCCCCCCGCCCCCCCCCCGGGCCCCGCTGCTCACGTTGCCCCCCTGCGCATACTCCATCACGATGGCCAGGTACTCTGGGGTGAGGAAGACCTCCTTGAGGTCGACGATGAAGGGGTGCTTGAGGCCGCCGTGGTGCATCACCTCGCGCATCACGTACCGACGGTACTCCTTCACCTGCAGGAGGCGTGGCCGGGGCAGGAAGGGGCAGGGAGGGGCTCAGGGCAGGGCATATTTGCAAGGCGGCCAGGCCAGGCAGCTCAGCGGGGTCAGGGGGCAGCAGGGATGGGCTTCGGGCCGACCGAGCAGTCGGGACGCTGCATGGCGGCTTTGCCAGGCGGGCGCCAGCAGCGCGGCTGGCTCGCTGCAGGCCCGCCCAGTCGTGCAACGCATGCACGAGGCTGCAGCCCCAGCTGGGTGGGCTGCGCCCAAGCAGCGGCAGGGCAGCAGGGCAGCAGCAGCGCTCACAAAGCCGCCGCGCGGCAGCAGCTTGATGGCCACATCCTGCGCATCTGGGTCGCCAGTGTCGCGTGCACGGATCACCAGGCCATACGTGCCGCTGCCCAGCACGCCCAACTGCGGAAATGGAAAGAAGAATGCCCGGGTTGGAGCCTGGTGCCCGCAAAAGGGCACACCCGCCCCTGCCCGCCCCTGCCGCCGCGCCGGCCTCACAGCGCCGCCCACCTGCACATATCGCCCCAGCTGCTTATGTCCTGTCCCTGTTTCCTCCCTGCAGGGCGCGCAAGGGTGGAATTAGGGGGCTCGTCCATCGCAGAGGGTCCCCAGTCGCTCCACACCGCGCTTACGTTGGAGTGCTGCCCCGCTGGTGTAGCAGCTTGTCCATGGCACCTCACGGGGCGCCTGCCAAACAGGCGTACTTGCCCAGCCCAGCCGAACTGAGAGCGATGTGTCCCTGCGCGCTCTGTATATCGGTGTGATCTGTCCTAAAGGGTTCAGGAGATAGTATAGTGCCGGCTGGGACTCGATTTTCACTCAGAATATTTCTATGAGGTCGTCCAGCTCAGCTGAACCCTATAGCCTGGCAGCCTACCCAAATGCGGCGGGCAGTGCATCTCTACGTTCTCACGCTACCATGATGTCCATCCACTCACCCAGCCGCTATGTCTGCTCACCTCCGCAACCCACCGCCTCCCACCGACGGCGGAAACACCTGAACACACGTGTGTGCAGCAGCGAGAAGGGGCAGCAGGAGCCTGATGAGTCCAGCAGCTCGCTGGGCGCCTTGGAGGCGCTGCTGAGTTCGCCGCCCACGCGGGCGCCAGCGGTGGCAGAGTCTGGGGAGCGGCAGGGGGACAAGCAGCAGGAGGATAAGCCGCAGGGTGGTGAAGGGGAAGACAAGCAGAGCAAGGAGGGCTGGTATTGGTGGGATCGGCCTGCCGGACCCCAGACCAACCCGCTGCGGCGGGGCGGCATGCCGGTGAGCGCTGGCACTCCTGGTCCCCGCTGCACCCCATCATGCTGTGGATGCGAGCTTTCAGCAACTGGCAGTCTTCATGCAAGTCTTCATTTCACATGCACCGATTGCCTTTAGCACAAACCTGCTGTCTGCTGTCGCCAAACTCCACCCCGCCCCGCCCCATCAGCCCATTCCACCCCCCTCCCAACCCCACCCAATGCAGGCCGGCCGCAGCGGTGCTTACCTGGACTCGGAGCAGTTCACTCGAGACCCGCTTGAGCTGTCTGTGGGACGGCGCGTGGCGGCCGCCTCTGGTGGCCCGCTGCCCCTGCCGGGCAATGACTCGCTGCCGCTGGCCAGCTGGACACTAGCAGCGATACTCGCGGTGGGCAGCGTGGGCGGCCTGCTGGGTCTCACCACGTCTCTGCAGATGAACAGCGACGCCGTCGTCTCGGGGGGTTGGTGGCTGCTGTGGACGGCCAGCCTGCAGCCGCTGTCGTGGCTCAACCTGGCGGCGGGCACGGGCGCGCTGCTCAGCGCGGGTGCATACGCTGAGCGGCGGCTGGGCAGCGCGCTGTACCTCACAGCCTTCCTGGCTGCTGGAGCGCTGCCCGCCACCTTCTATTATGCCGGCTCGATGCTGTTTGTGCACAGCGATGCGGGCACCTTGTATGAGGGGCCCGCTGCGGCTCTGATGGGCCCCGCCGCCGCCCTGGCTGCCTATGTTGTCGGCAACTGGCGCGTGCTGGGCGCGGGGCAGCGAGCGCGGTGTGCGCTGGCCTGCCTGGGCTGCGCCGCGGTGGCGGCCACAGAGCTGGAGGCGGGCTTGGCCACACCGGACCTGCTGGCGGCCTCGGCCTTGGTGGGCAGCCTGCTGGCGCTGCTCGGCGGGCCGCGGCTGGAGGTGCTGCGGGAGCTGGACATCCAGGAGGGGAGCATGACCATCAGCGGAACCGAGGGCGAGCTGGTGGTCGTGGTGGACAAGGTGACGGCGCCCCGCCGCTGGCTGGCGTGCGGCGGCGTCGTGCTGTTGCTGCTGGGCCTGGGTGCCACGGTAGACGCCGTGGTGCACAGACAGATTGAGGTGCTGCTGCTGGAGCAGTTCCTGGAGGACAACAGAGACAGCCCAGAGGTGCAGCAGTGGCTGTACGAGGTGGCGCCAGAGAAGTTACGCAACGCTTGACGGGGCGGCGGGCACCATGCAGCACTTGCAGCACAGCGGCGGCTGTCGGTGATATTGTTTTTTATTCCGTTGGAATGCTAGCAACCTGTGGAAACAGAGCCACCAACTTGCAATGCCAGATGGGAAGGGGGATGCTGTGGCGACCTCCCACGCGGCGGCCACATTGGCGCCCATGTGACAGGGGGTCATTTGTGGAGGCCAACCGTTCCCCTCCTGGTTTCACTTGATCGGCATACTGCCAGGGCGCCTGACGGTTGCGAGGGACGCAAGGCGATGGCCGACACCAAACCCCCAAACTTGTGGAAGAGCCTGTTCTCGTGGGCGCTCCCGGACTCGACCCCCAGCAGCAGAGAGCTTAAATATTATAACAAGCTGACCTCAAAGTATGGCCTGGTGTCGGGGGCGTGCCAAAGGTAATTACATGTGAACCCTGGCCCTCCTACCGCCCTCGACATGCTCAGGATCATCAGCGCCGTGTTCCTGGGCAGGCAGCCGCCGCCCAGGGCGAGCAGGCCGCCGCGACCCCCGCCGCCGCCGCCCTAGGTCCTGCGCCGAGGGGGCGGGGGGTGCTTGTTTGCAGCTGCATGCAAGGTCCGGCTGCATGGCACACAAAATTGGGGCTTGCAGGAGGTGGAATCTGGTGTGGAAGTGCCGCGTGCCATCAGCCACTCATGCGCAGCGGCGCCACGCCTCAATTCCGCAGGCCCGATGGACAAGTAGCCTGCGGCTGGGCCTCCCTGCGGGGCAAGCGTCCCATGAACGAAGACACTGTGTATTGTTCCTTCCAGCGCCACGACGAGACAGGAGAGGATGTGGGCTGCTTCGGCGTGTTTGACGGGTGCGTGGGCGGCCTGACATGCTGACATGTTGCGCAGCACCATTCATCCCCGCGGTCCCATTTCAACTAAGCCCTTGCCCCGCACTGTGCCATCGGTGGCACGTCGCCGCCAGCCACCACCCGCCCCCCTCGTCTTGCACCCCTTGCCTGCAGGCACGGCGGCCCCAGCGCGGCGCGCTTTGTTCGGGACAACCTGTTCACCAACCTGCTCAACCACCAGATGTTCAGCCGCAACCTGGCCAAGGCGGTGGCGGATGCATATGCCGAGACAGATGGGCAGTACATCGACCTCGACGCGGAGCAGCAGCGGGACGACGGCTGTACCGCCGTCACCGCGGTGCTGGTGGGCAAGCGGCTGGTTGTAGCCCACGTTGGCGATAGTAGGTGCGCGGCGCGGTGGCGGGCTGCGCAGCACGCAGCAGCGTGTGGGCATTGGCGGTGCGGCCGGAGTGCGGTGCAGCGATGGGCCGGGCAGGCGGCCTGCTGCTGCTGTGTCCAGCGTGCCACAGCGTGGGTGCAGCGCGAAGCTCACATCGCCGCCAGCGCTGCCTGCCTACTGTCTTCTCTGCTGCAGCGGCACCTGCTGCAGTTGAAGCGTCTGCTCAACGGCTGCCTGCACGCTGCTGACATGCCTGCCTGCCCTGCGCTGCCTTCCGCAGAGCGGTGCTGTCGGTGGGCTCTGGCGCCGTGGCCCTGTCCCAGGACCACAAGCCCAACCGGGAGGACGAGCGGGGGCGGATAGAGGACGCGGGCGGGCAGGTGGTGTGGGCGGGGACGTGGCGCGTCAGCGGCGTGCTGGCCGTCTCCCGCAGCTTTGGCAACCGCATGATGAAGCAGTACATCATCCCGCACCCTGAGATCCGGGAGGACATACTGAACCACAGTGAGCACCCTCCCCGCGCAGCGGCAGCTGGGGGTGCAGCCTGGGTGGGAGCTGTTGTGTATAAGCTGTTGCCAGCTGCCTCCGAGACCCCACCCCACCCCCTCTCCCGCCGCCCCCATCCCTGCTGCCCCTGCCCCTGCCGCTCTGCTGCAGAGAACCAGTGCCTGGTGCTGGCCAGCGACGGGCTGTGGGATGCGATGGACAACCACGAGGCGACGCGGCTGGCGATGCAGTACAGGGAGCAGGGGGCGGAGGCGGCGGCGAGGGCGCTTGTGGCCGAGGGCTACACGCGCGGCTCCCAGGACAACATCTCCGCCCTGGTCGTCTTCTTCCACCTAGACGCCTCCACCACCTCCAAGACATCCACCTCCACCAGCCAGCAGGCCGACTGATGATGCACCTGCGCTTGTTGCTGCCGCTGAGGCCTGCTCCTCTGGGCGCAGACGGCGCCGGCACGCGTGCTCGGCTCGGCGGGCACCGGTGGCGGGGATCTGCACCGCCCCATCATTTTTCAGTGACGCCCGCTCCTAAGTCAGTGGGCCCCTGCCACTTGCTCATCTCTGCCACTGCTTCGTCTGGCGCTTGCTTGTATGTGTGTATCGGTTGACAATGCCACCGCCTGCCGCTGCCTGCACGTCTGTTGCTCCGTTTCACCGTGTTGCTGTATTTGATGCCTGCTGTCAGCACCATCCCCTCGTTACGAGCATCATATTCTGTCTGTGCCCATGCACTGGTGCAAGCAAACATGCAACAGGTCCTTGCATCCTCCCCTCGGCAGCTGCCACCCTGCCGCTCCGCTGGGCAAGCTGTACCTGATGTGGGCAGGGTCCTACTCAGTGTGTTTAAAACGTTTCAATCGTCGCTTGTGCTGCAACCCCACCATCGCCTGGTGGCTGGAGAGGTGGTGCCGTGGTGTTGCTGGGGCCGCGTGCTCAACTCACCTCACGGTGTCGCGAGGCAGGTTCAGGTAGTTTGCATTGCTTCTGCATACTCCGGGGCTGTTTCAGCGCGTGGCGCGAACCCGCGCCAGCTCCGGCTGTGGGCCCAACACGGTGGTGTGCTACTGACCACAAGGAGCACGCGCCAGCCATGAGGGTCGCGCTGGCGGTGCTGGCCGCCGCGCTGTTGGCCTCTGGCGCGGCGGGGCAGCTACCTGCTGGCACCACCCTCCCCGCCACGACCTACCCCGCAGACGGTATGCTACGCCGCTGGGGGTTGGCATCCAGGCTTGCCTGCCCTGTGGCGCTGCTGGTGTTGCACACGCCGCTTGCCTGCGGTGGCTCCTAGCCCGGCGCTGCAAACAGCCGCACTCGCCCCGCGCGCTCCCCGCCCGCTCCCCGCTGCGCAGTGGATGCCCTGCACGCGCTGCGCGCCTCCCTGACAAACCTGCCGCGCGACTGGTCGGCCACAGAGGACCCGTGCGGGACCCCCGCCTGCGGCCCCATGCTGTCCACGCGGTGCGCGTGGACGGGGCTGGCATGCAACGCCAGCCGCGTGGTGGCCGTCTGGCTGCCCTGCCTGCGCGACTGGTGCTTCAGCGTGGGGGGCACCCTGGCGCCCGGCCTGGCGGGCGCCAGCGAGCTGGAGCTGGTGGAGTTCCAGGGCAACCAGATCGGCGGCACGCTGCCGCCAGAGTGGGGTGCCCTGGAGCGCCTGGTGGTGCTGTCTGCCGGCTACAACCTGCTGACGGGCACGCTGCCGCCCTCCTACTCAAACCTGTCGGCGCTGGAGCATGTGCGGCTGAGCGGCAACCAGCTCAGGGGAGGGCTGCCGCCCGACTGGGGCAGCCTGGGGCAGCTGCGCGAGCTGCTGGTGGGCGACAACGAGCTCGACGGCGGCTTCCCGGCAAACTGGGCGGGCATGGCCAGCATGCAGGTCCTGGTCTTTGGTGAGTCCAGCGGCCCGGCTGCGCAGCTGGCTGCCGCCCGACCTGGTGGTGTCAGACCAGGCCGCTCATGGATGGCGCCACCGTGCTGTCCCTGCTCCTGCTCCCGGTTGCGCCTCACCTGACGCGTGCCCTGTGCGCCTGCCCCTGCGTTTGATGTGCAGAGAGCAATCGCCTGTCGGGGCCCCTGCCGGCGGCCTGGGTGCGCATGTACCAGCTGCAGGTACTGGATGTGCGCGACATGTGCGGTGTCTGCGGCGCTGTGCCCTTCAACCAAGGTAGGGGCTCGCGCTGGTTGCGCAGGGCAAGGCAGGGCCAAGGGCGAGCGTCTGCCCCTGTCTGTGTCCCACCCCTTGTCCTCACGCTTGCCCCGGGTGGCCCTGCGCGTGCTGCTCACCACGGCATGGGCAGCATCAGCTCAGCATCACGCATACCGCGCCCTGCTGCCATTCCTGCTGCAGTGGTGCGCCTGGGCATGTCGGGCTCGTCCCTGGGCTGGCCCTGCGGCAGCGGCAACTGCAGCGGGCTGCCGCTGGGGTTCCTGGGCCAGGCTGTCATCATCTCAGGCAAGCCCGCCTGCTGGAGCCGGCAGCGGCAGCAGGGGCACTGTGTTTGCGCCGACTATGGTCTGCCGGACTGGGTGCTTAGACGGTCACAACTTCTGACCCCTCTCCCCGCCCGCCCGCCTCCTGCAGCCATTCTGCTGGTGCTGGTGACGCTCTGCTTGTGGCGCCGCATCTGGCTGTTCCGCCGGCACGGCAGCGACGGGCAGCGCAGCGGGCTGGGCCTGGTGCGGGCGACGGTGACCGAGGCCGCGTGCCCCGGCCTCCGCGTGACGGGATGATGGATGAGTGAGTGTGCAGTCAGCCAGCCAGTCCAGCCAGTCCAGCCAGCCAGCCATATGCTTGCCCAACTGGTTTCATGCAATGAGCTGCTGGGCCTGTGCAGCGCTCCTCAAGGCACCTCGCCCACGACCTCTCACTGTGCCGTCTCCTTTGCCGCGCAGGGCGGACGTGGATGTGAATGCGCCGCCGCCCCCGCCTCCCGTGGTGGTGCTTCAGCCAGACCAAGGCGTGTGCACCGCACGCATGGATGCCGAGTGGGCGGCGGTGGCGGCGGCGGCGGCGGCAGCGGAGAGGGGGGAGCAGGCGCCCAAGCCAGCAGATGAGGGGCAGCAGCAGCAGCAAGCGCAGCAGGGCGGGGCTGGCCAGCCGCCGAGGCGGTGGTGGAGCTGGCTGGTGCCCCGGCGCAGCAGGGGTGCCGGCGGCCAGCCGCAGCATGCCAGGGGGCTGGAGGCGGGGCAGAGCCTGGAGATGGCGGCGGCGCAGCAGCTGCAGCTGGCTGCGGCACAGCAGGCACAGCGCGCGAGCGAGGCGGGTCCCAGCAGCAGCAGCGCCGACAGCAGCAGCATTGCCAGCAGCCTGGCGGTGCAAGGGGCTCCGGACGCGGCGCTGCCGGCCCCGCTGCCCTCTCGCCACGGCAGCATTGAGCAGCACCTGCAGCAGCAGCCCAGCGGGCACATCAGTCGCCGGCGCAGCATGCAGCAGCCAGCGGCGGCCGCCGTCGGCGCGGCATCGCTCCCTCTCCACCGCGCCTCCACAGGCCAGCAAGCACCGCAAGAACAGGAGGTGTTCCGGGCAGCACCCTGGCTCAGCGGCGGGAGTGGCTCAGCATCGCGACGCACGCAGCGCGCCTCTATGGGCCAGCGGGTGTCCCGGGATCAGGCGCTCGACTTCATAGCCACCACGCAGCTCAGCAGCGCCGAGCGGCGGATGATTGCCAACGAGCGGCGGCAGGCGGCGGCCGCGCGCCGCCCCATCCCAGTCTATGGCGTGGAGCTGCGGCCGGATGCGGATGCAGACCTGGATGCATCTGTGACCGCTTCTGGGGCTGCGTCAGGGCAGCACCTGATGCAGCCGCAGCGTCCCCCGCCCCCACCCCCGCCCCCACCCCCAACACAGCCAGATGCCGGCTCTGATGCGGCACCCAGCGTCAATCTGGATGCCAGCAGCAGCACTGGAGCCAGCAGCGACAACCTACCAGCCCGCCATTCCTAGTCTCCTAGACAAGTAGATTGCCCGATTACGTTGCGTATTTATGTGCTCAGTTTGTTGTTTGGTAGTTGGCAGGCCATTCACAGCCTCAGTGTCTAGTTCTCCTTCCTGCCGTGTCTAGTTCTCCATTCGGTGAAGGCACTACCTCGCTGTTGAATTTATTCTCTTAGACATGCACTTTGGATCAAATGAATCTTCACTCACACTCCAGCCCCAAGCTGAAGTTTGATTCCACCTCCACGACCTGTGACCTCATTGTAAGCCCGCTCTGTCTGGCATGCGGAAGGCTCTTTACAGGCGCCATTGCAAGAGGCATGAATGTGAATGAATGTCGGCAGGCGCAGTGGAGCCAGAGTACGGAATTGTGAATGGGTAGAAGGGAGGCCTGCCGCTTGCCTCGAATGTACAGATGAAATGCAGGGCTCATACTCTGCCGCACCAACCAAGCTTCGCCGCCAACTCAGCAGCCCCGAAAACGCCAGGACGCTTCTGGATGCATGCTGCCAGGGCGGGTCAGAACGCCACTCCTCACTCAACCAGCTGCAGGTCCGCCTCGCCCTGCACGCAGCGGGACGCAGACGGGTTGATTCCGAAGGGCCAGGGCGCAGCCAAGCTGAGCCCACCTGCAGGCCAGCTCACCCGCACCCCACCTTGGCAAACTTGTCGCGGTGCTCCTCAAACAGCTTCTTCAGGGCAGCCACGTAGCGGGCGTGGTGGCGGTCCACCAGGGCAGCAAACTCGGCGCTGGCCTCCTCGCCTGCGCCAGCATGGCAGCGCAGCGCCCGGCTCCAGCGGCAGTTGCCGGCAGTGCCAGGCTGGCTGGTCCGGCTGCATGTCTGCATGCGAGAAGCGTGCGAGCCTGACTCAGCGCACCCAGCGTGGCTCACCTTCGAATTTGGGTACCTCCAGCGGCTCGCCCACCACCACCTCCAGCTTTACGGGAAAGGGGAGGAAGCCCCAGGGCAGCAGCAGGCCGGTGCCAAAGTACAGCGGCAGGGTGAAGCCTGTGTAGCGGGTCATGCCGCGCTGGAAGCGGCGAAGAGGGCTGCCAGTGGGCAGCTCGTTGGCCGTCCTGCAGATGGTGACACAGAAGGAGGGTTGCCGCGACGTGACCAACAACGCTGCGCACTTGGCATGCGTACACAAACAAGGCGAGGACATATATCAGAAGTAAATATCAGAAGTGCCCACCTGTAGGTGCTGTTCTCGCCAAAGGCATACACAGGCACCAGGCTGGCCCCCGAGCGCAGAGCGATCTTCACAAACCCCTTGCGACGTTTCAGCACAAGGTCGTTGGCCCCCGGGCGCGCAAACAGGCTCTGCAAAGCAGAATACAAGAGTGCATCGTCATCTCCCAAAATAAGGCGCCCAAACATACGCGGTTCCGGGCAGCGGCAGCCGCACCTCTGTGCCGCCTCCCACCGCAATCATCACCGACTTGCCAGCCCCCAGCAGGGTCAGGCAGGCACGCTTGGAGACATCGCACACGCCTGCGTGGGGGCAGGGCAGGGCAGACCAAGGCGGCAACAGCAGGCTGATGTCTCCAGACACCGACCATTAACCCTTTGACTACGAGAGCAATTCTGTCAGCCCTGCTCGCAGCAGGTTGAGGGATTTGGGCATTTCTCTCTCAAAATAGGGTCAATTTTGACCCAGCTTGGACCCACACATTCCCCTTCATGCAAGGCACCCCCCTGAGGTGCTCATTGGCCCAAACAGTTCTTTTTTTAACTTTGGCTCCCCTGCGAGTCCTCGATCGTCACGATCTGGACACATTGCTGTAGTTGCTGCTGCCAGCAACAAACTCAGGCGGCCCGCCCTGCCTGGGGTTCCTTAGGCATTGGTGGAACTGCCTGCAGTGCGCGAGCCCCATTGCAGCCGCTTTGTGAAGGCTCGTGCGTGCGTTGCACCACACATGCGGCCCGCCATGTGTGGTGCAACGAACATGCGCCTGCCTTCCATACCCTACACGCCCTCCGATGGAGCCGGCCGTCCTCTGACATGATGCTGGGCCTAGTGGGATGGAGTGGCAGCGGCGACGCCTCTCAATTTGGTTTTCCTGAGGTTGTTGGCCGGGTGCAGCGCGCGCCACGTGGCCAGCTGAGTTTTGTTAATCTCCCACCCGGTAGACGCCCTGCGGCCCGTGTGTTAAGGCTTAATTTCACTCTTTGGGACCAAATGGTCGTATTCATTGCGGCGGTGCCTGCCTCAATGGACACTTGTTGCACGCCATGCCATGTCTGCCACATGCCTCTGGCAGGGCATCTGGGACAGACATGTGTCTGTCGCTATGCAACATGTAATTGAGGGCGTTTTCGTGGGCCTCGCTGGGGCAGACACCCTAAGCATGAACGGTCAAGATGCAAAAGACTGGAGGGCAAAAGCTTTCGTTTCGTGCCAAAGGGACCCCGTCAACTATCCCATGGGCTGCCGTGAGTACAGCTCACTCTCGTAGTCAAAGGGTTAACCTCCAACGAGAGTGAGCAAGCAGGACACCAGGCGGTTCACCGTGCAGCAGCAAATACTCTCGAAAGAAGGGTGCCTTGAAGTTGATGCTCTGCAGTGCGGCGATGGCGGCAGGGGAGAGAGTAGAGGATGATTTGCCAGGCATTGACTGGCCTGGCCAGGAAGGCTCGAGAACTCACCAGGGTCAGCACGCGGCAGTCGATGCCGGGGAAGAGCTTGGAGAAGCCGAGCGCCTCCGTGGCAAAGGCTAGCCAGGCCGAGAAAGACAGGATGCCGTGGGGGTGGACCGCAAAGATGTCTGCACACATTGGCCCACCAGGCGCATGCGGGAGTGGGCATGGCTGGCAGAAGAATGGGCAATCCAGACAACTGGCAGAAGAATGGGCAATCCAGACAAGCAGGACTCGCATGGCGTGTCGGGCGGCAGGTCGGCAGTCTTGTGCAGGCGGGCGGGGAAGTAGCTTGAAGCCTGGCGCCACAAGCCCCAGCGCCGCAGCGGCTTGGGATAGCTGCCCGTGCGCGCCGCCTCCATGCCCCCTCCCACAAACGTCCAAGCCAGGTACGCGATGAGCGCGGGCCACAGGAAGGGCAGCACGGTGCACAGCCACACGGCCAGCAGCAAGCCGTAGATGCCGCCTCCGAACGAGACGTTGTAGAACAGCGCTGCCAGCTTCTCAGGCAGGCTGGGGCTCCGTCCAGGCCGTATCTTCTGCTGTATGAGCTCCCATTCTGAATCGCTGCTCCTGTTCTGGCCTGCACGGCGGCGGCGGCGGGTGGCAGGGAGAAGGGCGGGGGTGGGCAGAGCATATGCAGGGCGGCGCGCACCCTAGCGCGATAGGGTTTGATAGCCGTGCGTCTGTAGGAGCACCGGGGGCACAGCTCGCCTAGGGTGGGCGAAGCCTGGGCAGGGGAGGCGTCTGCGGCTGGGCCGGGAGACGCCATGGCTGCCTCCTGCGCGGCCATGAAGCTCAGATCAGCTTGTAGAGGGTGGAGAGCAATCCAAGGGGGTTTGGTGAGAACCACTGCCAGCTCATCTTCTAAATCTTCTTCTTCCCTAAAAGAACCAACTGGCCTGCGCCTCCCCATTGCAGATCGACCAACCATGGTGGGGTCTCGGCTGCTGCAGCTCTCGCTGGGGCTCCTGTTGTGGGCCTCAGTCACCCATTCGAGGCCCGTGGGTGATGAGGCTGCCGCGCTCTTTGCTGACGATGAAGGTTTTTCTTTTGAGCTGCTGCTGCGGCTGGAATGAGGCGGACCGGGCGGTGTGACAAAGGAAGATGTGCAGGCGGCGGCGGCGGGTGGTGCTGGCAAACGACGCGCAGAGGCGCGGTGGCAGCGGCGGGCTGTGTAGCTGTCGGCCGCACCTGCGGCTGAGCACTCTCCTTTTCTTCTTCCCCCTGCGTGCCGAGCAGGCGAGCGCCACATGGCCAATGGGGTGGCAGTTGAGTACACACCCGAGGCGCTGGCGGACAGAGTGACATACCTGCCGGGGGCCCCCAGCGGCCATCACACCCAGCTCTTCTCCGGGTGTGCCCGTCAGGCAGCCATTCGGCCATCGACTGGCAGGGAGGCCGCACCAGAGGGGCCGCACCAGACGGGCTGCGCGTTGCCCATCGGCACCTGTCCCCGCCACCATCCCACCCATTTCATTGCCGATTCAGCACACTGCTCTCCCATGCTGCAGCTACATCACCGTTGACGAGGAGGCGGGCAGGGCGCTGTTTTACGTGTTTGTGCAGAGCACCAGCCGGCCCAGGTGAGCAGCGCCCAGCTTGGCCACCTGGCTGCACCAGCACAGAAACCGGCAACGGCAGGAACCCCAGCCCGCCTGCGCCGCCTGTGCAGGACCGACCCGCTGGTGCTCTGGCTCAACGGCGGCCCCGGCTGCTCCTCGCTGGGTGGTGGCTTCCTGGCTGAGCTGGGGCCCTTCTACCCCACCCCTGGCGGCAAGCAGCTCATCCCAAACCAATTTGCCTGGAACAGGTCAGCGGGCCCGCCGCCCGCCTCGTCCCCTGGCTGTCCACCCCGTGGCCCGCGCCGTGCAGCCCGCCGCCTCTGCCCCCGCTGCTCAGCACCCGTTCCGTGCGGGCTCTTGCTGCCCCTCCCCCTGGGCTGCTCCCCACCCGCAGCGTGGCTAATGTGCTGTACCTGGAGAGCCCAGCCATGGTGGGGTTCTCCTACTCCAATACCTCAGCAGACGCCCGTGTGGGTGCGCATGCTGCTGCGCGGGTCGGGGCCGGGGCAGCAGGCAGGACCGCAATCCAGACCTGGGCGCGGCCCACTGCTGGCAGGCGGGAGGCGGGAGCGGGGCAGCCTGACTGTGCCTGCTGCTACGTGTGAGCTCGCAGGGCTCTGCCTGGCACTGGCCACTGGCCTCACGCCTGCCGCCGATGTCCCTACCGCCGATGTGCAGGCGACCGGCGCACCGCCGCCGACTCCCGAGAGTTCCTGCTCCGCTGGTTCGACCGCTTCCCTCAGTACCGCTCCCACAAGTTCTGGCTGTCTGGCGAGAGCTACGCGGGCCACTGTGAGCGCGCCGCCAGTGGGCTAAGCCGCCGCCGCATGCCTGGGCTCTGCCTGCCAGCCAGGCTCGCCGGGACAGCTGCCGGCGCCGGACCGAGGCACGCTGCGAGCACAGAGCTGCCATTCTCGGTGGTGGGCCTGGGCCCCCACCCCACCCCCACCCGCACCCACACCACCTCCTGCCCGACCCTCCCATGCAGACGTGCCCGACCTGGCTGATGAGATCCTGCGGGGCAACCGGCGTGACGATGGGGAGAAGGCCATCAACCTGCAGGTGAGGCGCTAACAGTCGCTGCCGGGCCCCTCACGGTCCCCGGGCTGCTGCCACTGCGAATAACAGCACGCATCGGCCTCTGCCCTGAGCTACCCGCGTGCTCCTTGAAAATGCAGGGCTTCCTTGTGGGTGCGTGAGCAGCAGCTGGGTGTTCTTGGGGTGGTGGTGGCTGTGGGGACGCATCTGCTGCCGCAACGTGCTGCGAAAGGGCACTGCTGCTGGTGGTTGGTGCCGTTTTTCCCGCCCGGGTGGATGGGCCACTGGTAACGGCTTGGGGCCCGCTGGCTTGGGCTGCCGCTGCCGCTGCTGCCGCTGCGCCTGAGGCCTGTGCCGGCACGGGCCGGCAGGCAATGCATGGAGCGACGCCACCATGGACAATCGGGCTGCCGTTGATTTCTGGTGGAGCCACGGAGTGACGAGCGGGGAGGCCACCAATGGCATGGCATCCACCTGCGACTTCAGCAAAGTGGGGCCGCTGCTGGCTGAGGAGGTGAGGAGGCAGGGCGGGGTGGACCCACCGCCACCCGCTGCCGCTGCGCTCCCCCAGCCTGGGCTGAGCAGGCAACGCGGTGACTGGTCCTGAGATGGACAGCCCTGGGGCCCTAGAGTTTTGGCACTCCCACGGGATTATCAGCTCCGAGGCCAGGGATGGCGCCCTGGAAACCTGTGATTTCAAGAGCCTCTACCCGCTTAACAGCCAGGTGCTGCGGGGTGGGGAGCACCTCCCCCTCCCACCCACCCCGCGACAGCCACCACCTCACCCAGCCCTCTCGCCTCCCTGCCTGCCTGCCCGTCCTGCTGCAGGGTGGGGAGGGGCAGGAGGGGGATGTGTTTGTGGCGGCGGTGGAGGATCCGCTGCCGATGGGCGACAAGGCGGCCAAGTGCGACCGATGGGTCAACCAGGCGATGGAGGAGATGGGAGGCATCAACATCTGTGAGTTTGGGGAATGGACATATGAGGTTGGAGAGCTGGGGCAGGGGAGGGCTGCCCGTTCCGGCACCGGATGCTCACCTGCCTGGCCCTCGCCCCCTCCTGCGTGCAGACGACATCTATGCCGATGTGTGCCTAGCGGGCCCAGCCAAGGTGGCACGCCAGCTGGGGCTGATGCTACGCAACCACCCGGCTGGCCTCAGCACGCGCCACCTCATTCAAGGTGCCTACATGTTTTAGGTCATGGTAAAATTGTTTTTGACCATGAGCAAATGCTGTCCAGAATACAGGTGTCCAACCCTTTGAATTCCTGTGCAGGCAAGTACGACCCCTGCATTGACTCGGAGACCGAAGCGTACCTGAACCGGCGCGACGTGCAGCTGGCGCTGCATGCCAACATCAGCGGCCAGCTCCCCGGCCCCTGGACGGACTGCACACAGAGGATTGAGTACTCGAGGTGCGCAAGGGGGAGCCTGGGGAGGGCACGGGGGCAGGCTTGGGGGCAGGCCTGGGGGCAGCATGCCTGGACACAGGTGTATAGCTGCGCCCTGTTGCGGCAAGCGCGGCTGGTGGGTGTTCCCTGACACCTGGCTGCCCAATGGCTCCCCTGCCCCGCACGGGAGCATCCTTGCCACGCGCTGTGCTGCCCCTCACCTCCCAGGAGCGACCTGCTGTCCTCCATGCTGCCGCTGTACCGCCGGCTGCTGGACGAGGAGGACATCAAGATTCTGGTGTACAGCGGCGATGTGGACGCCATTGTGCCAGGTGCGGCTGCCGCCTGCTTGCTTGCAACGGCACGGCGTCGGCCCGCAAGAGGCTGTGCGGCAATGCCCGAGCAGCGCCCACCTGCCCTCGCCCCCGCTCCCTGCGCACTGCGCACACCCGATGCAGTGATCGGCACCCGCCGCTGGATCGCGTCCCTGGACCTGCCCCGCACCGCGCCCTGGCGAGCCTGGCACTCCGCCACCGGCCAGGTGGGCGGCTGGACGGTGGGCCACGGCAAGCTGACGTTTGCGTCTGTGCGGGGCGCTGGCCACATGGCGCCATACACGCAGCCGGAGCGCGCCCACTTCCTCTTCAGCAAGTGGATCCACCAGCAGCCGCTCTAGCCCCCACCCACCCAAGCCGCGAATCTCCAACACAGCAGCAGCCGGTGCCACTGTGGAAGGACCGGCGGCGCCGCCTTCCATGTACTCTGCTCTGAAATCCTGTTGTGCCAGGTGACCTCTGTTGTTGTCAGTGGTGGAACTCTGTCATGTATGCACAGTCGAAATGCTGTGTAGGACCATGAAAAAAAACAGAAGGTCCTCCTGACCAGCCAGCTGCTGCCTCTTACAGCCGGCGCCACACACGCATCACAGCCAGAGCTCGTCTGTGATCTCTCTCGACCACATGCGCCTGCTGAGGGAGCTGCGCCCCGCGGGCAGGTTGACCTGCTCCTGGTACTGCCGCACCCAGGCATCCTGCGGCAGGGGCGGCGCCAGCGAGGGTTGCGGGTGAGCGCGCTGCGAAGGAGATGCCCACGGGGGAGGGCAGCCAGCCGGGGCAGCCACCGGCAGGTCGCAGAGCAGGGCGGGGGGGGGGGGGGGGGG